ATTCAAGTCAAGTCGATAATTGTAAATTAAGACTCAAATCAGTCGAGACCAGAGAGAATCGGATCCTTAAAAGACTAACTACACGAACCCTCTTCTCCCGTCAGATCTAAAACCTACAGCAGAAGGCCAGCATGTGACGTGGCGTGTGACGTGGCGTGTGACGTGGTGTGTGACGTGGCGGGACAGGGGACAGCGCTCACTGTGGTGTGGACAGAGACGTAGAGCTAACCAGCCATGGGACGCTCCTCTCAGACTCTCCTGACAGTCAGTAGAAGCACATATATGGTCCTTTGAAAGAGTCACGGTGTGAGCACTTGTGTTGCAGCTCGACTACATCAACAGCATAAATAACAGCCCTCAGAGTGTTGGCTGTGTTGTTGTGGTTAGGGAGGGGCAAGAGGATTCGGCTGACTGAACTTTCAAATCTAAGCAAGCAGAGACAAGCTCGTGTTGATCAGAGAAGGCAGCTTTCTGTGGAAAGTGGAAATTTCAGTGGTAAATATTTGAGTATAGAGTTCATCTTCAAGACATGTCGAGTCAGGCCTTATGTCACAGTCAATCAAAGTCCAGGTCACGTCTCAAGTCCAAAAAAGTCTAAAGTTATAGTTGGCATGAGAAGGTTAAGTGACGTCTGAAGTCATCTGAGGCACGTCACAGAAACCCACAAGTCCCCTGAGGGTCCAAGTCCAGGTCAAGTCTCAAACCTTGTGCCTGTCCAAGTCACGTGCGAGTCATTCAGGTCTCAATTATGACCATTGAAATGTAAAAACACCATGTTTGAACGTTTTCTTTTGAAAGCTGTAAATCAGTTTTTCTTGCTTGCACAAAGCCTGTCACTTCAGCAGGTAAAAATCTGACACTTTAATGTTTTTGTTTTCTAGTCTCGAGTTGCGACTTCAAGGAGCCAAGTCTCACGTCTGACTCCAGTCCAGATGAAGTCTCAGGTCTACAGCTCTTGTGGTGAGTGCTCCGCTTTTCCAAAGTTTTCGTGTCTGTAGTCTTGTGCCGTTTTCATCAGCTCAGCCACTGAACCTGTCGCTGTTCATCCTAACTGCCCAGATCTTCTTCCACTTATTTGTAACAAAGTGATATAGACTGTAATTCCTCCTGTGCAGCAACGTATTTGTCCTTTGGGACAGGAAATGTAAAATTCATCTATTATACAAGTGCCTCCTAAATGGCAGTAAAAGTTCCTGGCTGAGAGTTTTCTCTTCAGAGATGCTCACAAAGCTGCCAAGAGCAACTTTTAGTGAGGAACAAAGTGAACTCCTGAGCTAAGAGAAGGTGCAGGGTGGAGAGAGCGTTTTTGGTTTAATGAATAATTCTGTCAGATGGCCGAGGCTCAGAACAAAAGTGCCGCAAACTATTTTTCTGGTGTCCAAATAAAGAGTCGTGCACGCAGTCGTCTCCGATGTTATTGGACTGGTTTGATTTACTGGCGATCTGTATTAAATGGCCACCATCAATGTGATTTTAAAAGTTAATCATTTTACAGAGAGACCTACAGTGGCGTCTCAAGTGTCTCTGCCTTCTCTCAGACTTAGGAGATACTTTTAATGCTCAGTCACTCTAAGACCAAAAACTCTTTTTATACTGCTGTTTGATGAATATCGTCCCTGTTTGCATGAGTCAGATTTTTTTAAAATGAGAACCCTAAACCTTGCATGCCAAGTCCAGTGTGTTTTTCTCTGTCGTCTAACGTGGTTTCTTGTCTGGAGCAGGTGGTGGTGATTGTCGCTTCAGCCATTGTTGTCTTCATAAGAGGTTATAAATCCCCCTCTGAGCAGCGCTATGTCTTTGGGGCAGATTGGAGGCTACAGTGAGTCGCTAACTCATTAGCATGCTAACTTCAGTAGAAGAAGTAAAGGTATATATGTATGTTATAAATGTAATCTATCTATTGTCGTTACTTTCCTCCTCTGCAGACAACTCTTGGTGAGTAAAGAAATGAAGTGTGTTGCTGAACTCTACATTTCTACTATACTGGTAAGGAAACAGCTGTTAATGCTAACTTTAGCCATGTAGCAATAGTAAAAATGTACAATATGAAATAATTATAGCATTTCTTCTTAAAACATGTAAAGGAAGAAGGACACATTTCTTTTCCCATTTAGTGAAATCTTTACTGTAGCAGCAAATTCACACAATATACAGATGTAACATCATGACTCGTAGCAGCAGCACAGAGGCAGCCATAGACGCCTCGCTAAATACTGTTGTGTGGACACAGTGAAAAGGCCACAGTCTCTAGGTGTCATTTTTTTCCAACACAAAAATCATAAAAGCTTAAATACAAAATAGATCTATTCTCTGCTCAGGCTCCCCCTCATCCATGTGGAAAATATAATATCGCAGAGAATGTATTTACATCCCGGCTTTAAATGCCTAAAAGAATAATTAACATTAAATCAAATGACACAAGCTCATTAAATAAATCATGGAGAATCAGTTCCATCACAAAATAATTAAGAAAAGCCCAAACCTAATTAAAAGCAAAAGAAAAACTAATCCAATCATCATCAGGAAACTTTTTCTACTAAAATCCCATCATTTTGGATTCAATAACATCTCAGCACAGAAACCTGGGATAAACTGTTCAAAGGCAACAACATTGTAATACTTTGGCTTCAGAGAAGCAGACAGCACAAGTCTGTCCTAAGGCATTAATAAATATTGATCTGATCCAGAGATGACAGAAAAATTATTGATAATGATGATTGATCTCACGCTACCTGATTGATAGATGCTTGTTGGTCAGTACATGTTAATGCTGGGAGGCAGCGTAGCAGAGAAGCATAGTTTAGAGGCGGCAGGAAATACTTAAAAGTCACATACTGGTAAGTACTTGAGTGTTATGATTATGAATGCAAAGTTCAAGGATGATAATGTTTTGCATTTTGTTCGACTTGGCTTTTTCTACATTAAACCTTAAGCCATCCAGAGGAGACACATGGTGACAGATTGCTACAGCTTCTCTCCTCTGGTGAGCTTCTCACAGTAAACACTGGTTTGGTATTTGCAGGTCAAGAGACACACATTTTTCCAACTTTCCTGATGATGGTCTTTGTTTCAGCAGCATTTAAATGACTGTATTTCATAAAGAAGCTCATCCTGACTACACATTAAAAAGTCCTTTCTATGCTGTTGAAGCAGTTATTAGTCACATAATGATCTTAATGTTAAGACCAGTTTTAATCTAAATGTCTTCTGACCTGCACCTGAACAAACCTATGCTTACAGGAGAACTGCCTACAATCTGTGAACACATGCAGCCCTTGTTTCCACTCCACCACCTCTGTCAGCGTCCAGACCCTGCGACCTCAGTTCAGTCCAGATGTGATGCCAAATGAGACAAGTGTGATTTTTTTTTTTCTTGCACACCTGTCCCATTTACTCCTTGTTCCTCTTGGCATCACAGTGGTGAGCTGTAGCTGCAGCCATGTTGTTTCCTTGGTAGTAAACATTTGATACAGGTAGGGATTCACAATAGTCCGTAATAGGAGGGGATGATGACCCAGGGAAGCCACCGCTAGAATCCATCGTCATAGTCTCCGTCACAACCGTAATCTGGAGGGAGACACAGACGGAAGAGTTAAATACTGATAAATGTTGGCCAGACTTTACATTTTCATAGAGGAAAATTATTAAAATGATCTTAAATCATACTATAGTAAGGTATGAAATTTGATTAAAATATCACAGTATAGTAAGTCATAAAATGTCATAGTATAATACAGCATAAAAATGCCAAAAAAACGTCATAGTATAGTATGGCATAAAAATGTCATAATATAATACAGCATACAAATATCAAAAAAGTCATAGTATAGTAAGGCATCAAATGTCTCAGTATAGTAAGGCATCAAATGTCTCAGTATAGTAAGGCATCAAATGTCTCAGTATAGTAAGGCATCAAATGTCTCAGTATAGTAAGGCATCAAATGTCACAGGATAGTAAGGCATAAAAATGTCATAATATAATACAGCATAAAAATATCAAAAAAGTCATAGTATAGTAAGGCATAGAAATGTCAAAAAACCTCACAATATAGTAAGGCATCAAAAGTCATAGTATAGTAAGGCATCAAATGTCATAATATAATACAGCACAAAAATATAAAAAAAAAGTCATAGTAAGGCATAAAAATGTCATAATATAATACAGCATAAAATTTTGAAAAAAACCTGACAGTATAGTAAGGCATAAAAATGTCAAAAAACCTCACAATATAACAAGGCATCAAAAGTCATAATATAATACAGCACAAAAATATTAAAAAAAAGTCATAGTATAGTAAGGCATAAAAATATCAAAAAATGTCATAGTATAGTAAGGCATAAAAATGCCAAAAAAAAGTCATAGTATAGTAAGGCACAAAAATGTCATAGTATGACAAGGTATAAAAATGCAAAAAAATGTCAGTGTAATAAGGCATAAAATTTTGAAAAAAACCTGACAGTATAGTAAGGCATAAAATTTCATAAAAATGTCATAAAACATCTTAGTATAGTAAGGCACAAAAATGTCATAGTATAGTAAGGCATAAAATTTTGAAAAAAACCATAAAGCATCTTAGTATAGTAAGGCACAAAAATGTCATAGTGTAATAAGGCATAAAATTTTGAAAAAACCCTGACAGTATAGTAAGGCATAAAAATGTCAAAAAACCTCACAATATAGTAAGGCATAAAATTTCATAAAAATGTCATAAAACATCTTAGGATAGTAAGGCATCAAATGTCATAGTATAGTAAGGCATAAAAATGTGAAAAAACCTCACAATATAGTAAGGCATGAAAATGCCAAAAAATGTCATAGTATAATACAGCATAAAAATATCAAAAAATGTCATAGTATAGTAAGGCATAAAAATCTGAAAAAAACATCACAGTTATAGTAAGGCATGTGACGGACCCCTGGCCTGTCTTTGTTTTTTCTGTTGAGGTTATTGTTCTGTTTTCCCATTTGTGCAGCAGGAGTCTGAAGGGCGNCACAAAATAATTAAGAAAAGCCCAAACCTAATTAAAAGCAAAAGAAAAACTAATCCAATCATCATCAGGAAACTTTTTCTACTAAAATCCCATCATTTTGGATTCAATAACATCTCAGCACAGAAACCTGGGATAAACTGTTCAAAGGCAACAACATTGTAATACTTTGGCTTCAGAGAAGCAGACAGCACAAGTCTGTCCTAAGGCATTAATAAATATTGATCTGATCCAGAGATGACAGAAAAATTATTGATAATGATGATTGATCTCACGCTACCTGATTGATAGATGCTTGTTGGTCAGTACATGTTAATGCTGGGAGGCAGCGTAGCAGAGAAGCATAGTTTAGAGGCGGCAGGAAATACTTAAAAGTCACATACTGGTAAGTACTTGAGTGTTATGATTATGAATGCAAAGTTCAAGGATGATAATGTTTTGCATTTTGTTCGACTTGGCTTTTTCTACATTAAACCTTAAGCCATCCAGAGGAGACACATGGTGACAGATTGCTACAGCTTCTCTCCTCTGGTGAGCTTCTCACAGTAAACACTGGTTTGGTATTTGCAGGTCAAGAGACACACATTTTTCCAACTTTCCTGATGATGGTCTTTGTTTCAGCAGCATTTAAATGACTGTATTTCATAAAGAAGCTCATCCTGACTACACATTAAAAAGTCCTTTCTATGCTGTTGAAGCAGTTATTAGTCACATAATGATCTTAATGTTAAGACCAGTTTTAATCTAAATGTCTTCTGACCTGCACCTGAACAAACCTATGCTTATAGGAGAACTGCCTACAATCTGTGAACACATGCAGCCCTTGTTTCCACTCCACCACCTCTGTCAGCGTCCAGACCCTGCGACCTCAGTTCAGTCCAGATGTGATGCCAAATGAGACAAGTGTGATTTTTTTTTTTCTTGCACACCTGTCCCATTTACTCCTTGTTCCTCTTGGCATCACAGTGGTGAGCTGTAGCTGCAGCCATGTTGTTTCCTTGGTAGTAAACATTTGATACAGGTAGGGATTCACAATAGTCCGTAATAGGAGGGGATGATGACCCAGGGAAGCCACCGCTAGAATCCATCGTCATAGTCTCCGTCACAACCGTAATCTGGAGGGAGACACAGACGGAAGAGTTAAATACTGATAAATGTTGGCCAGACTTTACATTTTCATAGAGGAAAATTATTAAAATGATCTTAAATCATACTATAGTAAGGTATGAAATTTGATTAAAATATCACAGTATAGTAAGTCATAAAATGTCATAGTATAATACAGCATAAAAATGCCAAAAAAACGTCATAGTATAGTTAGGCACAAAATTTAACAAAAATGTCAAAAAACATCATAGTATAGTAAGGCACAAAAATGTCAGTGTAATAAGGCATAAAATTTTGAAAAAAACCTGACAGTATAGTAAGGCATCAAATGTCACAGTATAGTAAGGCATAAAAATGTCATAATATAATACAGCATAAAAATATCAAAAAAGTCATAGTATAGTAAGGCATAGAAATGTCAAAAAACCTCACAATATAGTAAGGCATCAAAAGTCATAGTATAGTAAGGCATCAAATGTCATAATATAATACAGCACAAAAATATAAAAAAAAAGTCATAGTAAGGCATAAAAATGTCATAATATAATACAGCATAAAATTTTGAAAAAAACCTGACAGTATAGTAAGGCATAAAAATGTCAAAAAACCTCACAATATAACAAGGCATCAAAAGTCATAATATAATACAGCACAAAAATATTAAAAAAAAGTCATAGTATAGTAAGGCATAAAAATATCAAAAAATGTCATAGTATAGTAAGGCATAAAAATGCCAAAAAAAAGTCATAGTATAGTAAGGCACAAAAATGTCATAGTGTAATAAGGCATAAAATTTTGAAAAAACCCTGACAGTATAGTAAGGCATAAAAATGTCAAAAAACCTCACAATATAGTAAGGCATAAAATTTCATAAAAATGTCATAAAACATCTTAGGATAGTAAGGCATCAAATGTCATAGTATAGTAAGGCATAAAAATGTGAAAAAACCTCACAATATAGTAAGGCATGAAAATGCCAAAAAATGTCATAGTATAATACAGCATAAAAATATCAAAAAATGTCATAGTATAGTAAGGCATAAAAATCTGAAAAAAACATCACAGTTATAGTAAGGCATGTGACGGACCCCTGGCCTGTCTTTGTTTTTTCTGTTGAGGTTATTGTTCTGTTTTCCCATTTGTGCAGCAGGAGTCTGAAGGGCGGAGCTACACCTAGATCACCTGGGCCCACTGCTTCTGCCCTGTAAGAAGTAACCTCTCCAGGCTGTCATTGGGCGCTCTCTCTCGGCTCCTCAGCATATTACTTTTGTGTTCATGCAGACAACAGCTCACACTTCATACATCCCACTCATGCACACATGCAACCACGCCACTGATCATACTGATGTCCAAACCTCACGGCTTACCTTAGTTCTTTTGTGTTACGTCATTTTGCTGATAATAAATTTATTGTTTGCACAACCTGTGTTCCCTTGCTTTTTGTCATGGATTTAGAAAAAGGTTGTGAGGCATCAAATTTTGTAAAAAAGTCATAGCATAGTAAGGCATCAAATGTATGAAAAAACCTCACAATATGGTAAGGCATCAAATGTAATAGTATAATAAGGCATACAATTTTGAAAAAAACCTGACAGTATAGTAAGGCATAAAATTTCATAAAAATGTCATGGTATTGTAAGGCATAAAAATGTGAAAAAACGTCATAGTATAGTAAGGCACAAAATTTAACAAAAATGTCATAGTATAGTAAGGCATAAAAATGCCAAAAAACATCATAGTATAGTAAGGCATAAAATTTTGTAAAAAGGTCATAGTATAGTAAGGCATCAAATGTCATAAAAATGTGAAAAAACCTCACAATATAGTAAGGCACAAGATTTAACAAAAATGTCATAGCATAGTAAGGCATCAAAGGTCAGTATTGTAAGGCACAAAAATGTCAGTGTAATAAGGCATACAATTTTGAAAAAAACCTGACAGTATAGTAAGGCATGAAAATCTGAAAAAACCTCACAGTTATATTAAGGCATGTGACGGACCCCTGGCCTGTCTTTGTTATTTCTATTGGGGTTATTGTTCTGTTTTCCCGTTTGTGCAGCAGGAGTCTGAAGGGCGGAGCTACACCGAGATCACCTGGGCCCACTGCTTCTGCACTGTAAGAAGTAACCTCTCCAGGCTGTCATTGGGCGCTCTCTCTCGGCTCCTCAGCATATTGTGCTTTTGTGTTCATGCAGACAACAGCTCACACTTCATACATCCCACTCATGCACACATGCAACCACGCCACTGATCATACTGATGTCCAAACCTCACGGCTTACCTTAGTTCTTTTGTGTAATGTCATTTTGTTGTTAATAAATGTATTATTGTTTGCACAACCTGTGTTCCCTTGCTTTTTGTCATGGATTTAGAAAAAGGTCATGAGGCATAAAATTTCATAAAAAAGTCATAGTATACAGTGTGGCATAAAAATGTGAAAAAAACTCACAATATGGTAAAGCATCAAATTTTATAAAAATGTCATAGTATAGTAAGGCGTCAAACGTAATAGCATAGTAAGGTATAAAAACGTCAAAAAACGTCATGGTATAATAAGGCATAAAAATGTGAAAAAAACTCACAATATAGTAAGGCATAAAATTTCATAAAAATGTCATAGTATAGTAAGGCATCTAATGTCATAGTATAGTAAGGAATAAAAATGTCAAAAAACATCACAGTATAGTAAGGCATCAAATGTCATAGTATAGTAAGGCATAAAATTTCATAAAAATGTCATAGTATAGTAAGGCATCAAATGTCATAGTATAGTAAGGAATAAAAATGTCAAAAAACATCACAGTATAGTAAGGCATCAAATGTCATAGTATAGTAAGGCATAAAAATTCATAAAAATGTCATAGTATAGTAAGGCATCAAATGTCATAGTATAGTAAGGAATAAAAATGTCAAAAAACATCACAGTATAGTAAGGCATCAAATGTCATAGTATAGTAAGGCATAAAATTTCATAAAAATGTCATAGTATAGTAAGGCATCAAATGTCATAGTATAGTAAGGCATAAAAATGTCAAAAAAACTCACAATATAGTAAGGCATAAAATTTCATAAAAATGTCATAGTATAGTAAGGCATCAAATGTCATAGTATAGTAAGGAATAAAAATGTCAAAAAACATCACAGTATAGTAAGGCATCAAATGTCATAGTAAAGTAAGGCATAAAAATGTGAAAAAAACTCACAATATAGTAAGGCATAAAATTTCATAAAAATGTCATAGTATAGTAAGGCATAAAAATGCCAAAAAAGGTCATAGTATAGTAAGGCATAAAATTTTGAAAAAAACCTGACAGTATAGTAAGGCATAAAAATGTCAAAAAACGTCATAGTAGAGTAAGGCATAAAAATGTCAAAAAATGTCATAGTGTAATAAGGCATAAAATTAAAATAAAAACCTGAGATTATAGTAAGGCATAAAAACGTCAAAAAACGTCTTAGTATAGTAAGGCATAAAAATGTCAAAAAAACGTCATAGTATAGTAAGGCATAAAAAAGTCATCTTATAATAAGGAATAAAAATGTGAAAAAACGTCAGTATCGTAAGGCATAAAATTTCATTAAAATGAAATAGTATAGTAAGGTATCAAATTTCCAAAAAAAGTCATAGTATAGTAAGGCATCAAATGTCATAGTATAGTAAGGCATAAAAATCTGAAAAAACCTCACAATATAGTAAGGCATAAAATTTCATAAAAATGTCATAGTATAGTAAGGCATAAAAATATCAAAAAAGTCACAGTATAGTAAGGCATAAAATTTCATAAAAATGTCATAGTATAGTAAGGCATAAAAATGCCCAAAAAAGTCATAGTATAGTAAGGCATAAAAATGCCAAAAAAAGTCATAGTATAGTAAGGCATCAAATGTCATAGTACAGTAAGGCATAAAAATGTGAAAAAAACTCACAATATAGTAAGGCATAAAATTTCATAAAAATGTCACAGTATAGTAAGGCATCAAAATGTCATAGTATAGTAAGGAATAAAAATGTCAAAAAACATCACAGTATAGTAAGGCATCAAATGTCATAGTATAGTAAGGCATAAAATTTCATAAAAATGTCATAGTATAGTAAGGCATCAAATGTCATAGTATATTAAGGCATAAAAATGCCCAAAAAAGTCATAGTATAGTAAGGCATAAAAATGCCAAAAAAAGTCATAGTATAGTAAGGCATCAAATGTCATAGTATAGTAAGGCATAAAAATGTGAAAAAAACTCACAATATAGTAAGGCATAAAATTTCATAAAAATGTCATAGTATAGTAAGGCATAAAAATGCCCAAAAAAGTCATAGTATAGTAAGGCATAAAAATGCCAAAAAAAGTCATAGTATAGTAAGGCATCAAATGTCATAGTATAGTAAGGCATAAAAATGTGAAAAAAACTCACAATATAGTAAGGCATAAAATTTCATAAAAATGTCATAGTATAGTAAGGCATAAAAATGCCCAAAAAAGTCATAGTATAGTAAGGCATAAAAATGCCAAAAAATGTCATAGTATAGTAAGGCATCAAATGTCATAGTATAGTAAGGCATAAAAATGTGAAAAAAACTCACAATATAGTAAGGCATAAAATTTCATAAAAATGTCATAGTATAGTAAGGCATCAAATGTCATAGTATAGTAAGGAATAAAAATGTCAAAAAACATCACATAGTATAGTAAGGCATCAAATGTCATAGTAAAGTAAGGCATAAAAATGTCAAAAAAACTCACAATATAGTAAGGCATAAAATTTCATAAAAATGTCATAGTATAGTAAGGCATAAAAATGCCAAAAAAAGTCATAGTATAGTAAGGCATAAAATTTTGATAAAAACCTGAGATTATAGTAAGGCATAAAAACGTCAAAAAACGTCTTAGTATAGTAAGGCATAAAAATTTCAAAAAAACGTCATAGTATAGTAAGGCATAAAAAAGTCATCTTATAATAAGGAATAAAAATGTGAAAAAACGTCAGTATCGTAAGGCATAAAATTTCATTAAAATGAAATAGTATAGTAAGGTATCAAATTTCCAAAAAAAGTCATAGTATAGTAAGGCATCAAATGTCATAGTATAGTAAGGCATAAAAATCTGAAAAAAACTCACAATATAGTAAGGCATAAAATTTCATAAAAATGTCACAGTATAGTAAGGCATCAAATGTCATAGTATAGTAAGGAATAAAAATGTCAAAAAACATCACATAGTATAGTAAGGCATCAAATGTCATAGTAAAGTAAGGCATAAAAATGTGAAAAAAACTCACAATATAGTAAGGCATAAAATTTCATAAAAATGTCATAGTATAGTAAGGCATAAAAATGCCAAAAAAGTCATAGTATAGTAAGGCATAAAAATGTCAAAAAAAGTCATAGTATAGTAAGGCATAAAATTTTGTAAAAAGGTCATAGTATTGTAAGGCACAAAAATGTCACAGTATAGTAAGGCATAAAATGTCAGTGTAATAAGGCATAAAATTTTGAAAAAAACCTGACAATATAGTAAGGCATAAAAATGTCAAAAAATGTCATAGTGTAATAAGGCATAAAATTAAAATAAAAACCTGAGATTATAGTAAGGCATAAAAACGTAAAAAAACGTCTTAGTATAGTAAGGCATAAAAAAGTCATCGTATAATAAGGAATAAAAATGTGAAGAAACGTCAGTATAGTAAGGCATAAAATTTCATTAAAATGAAATAGTATAGTAAGGTATCAAATTTCCAAAAAATGTCATAGTATAATAAGGCATAAAATTTTGTAAAAAGGTCATAGTATTGTAAGGCACAAAAATGTCACAGTATAGTAAGGCATAAAAATGTCATAGTATAGTAAGGCATAAAAATGTGAAAAAACCACAATATAGTAAGGCATAAAATTTCATAAAAATGTCATAGTATAGTAAGGCATAAAAATGCCAAAAAAGTCATAGTATAGTAAGGCATAAAAATATCAAAAAAGTCACAGTATAGTAAGGCATAAAATTTCATAAAAATGTCATGGTATAGTAAGGCATCAAATGTAATAGCATGGTAAGGCATAAAAACGTCAAAAAATGTTATAGTATAATAAGGCATAAAAATGTGAAAAAACGTCAGACTAGTAAGATAAAATTTAATACAAATGTCATAGTAGAGTAAGGCATAAAAATGTCAAAAAATGTCAGTGTAATAAGGCATAAAATTAAAATAAAAACCTGAGATTATAGTTAGGCATAAAAACGTCAAAAAACGTCTTAGTATAGTAAGGCATAAATATATGAAAAAACGTCATAGTATAGTAAGGCATAAAAATGTCAAAAAATGTCAATATAGTAAGGCATAAAAAGTCATAGTATAATAAGGAATAAAAATGTGAAAAAACGTCAGTATAGTAAGGCATAAAATTTCATTAAAATGAAATAGTATAGTAAGGTATCAAATTTCCAAAACATGTCATAGTATAATAAGGCATAAAAATGTGAAAAAACGTCATAGTATAGTAGGGCATAAAATTTTATAAAAATGTCAAAGTATAATAAGGCTTAAAATGGGGAAAAACGTCATATTTAATAAGGCTTAAAATGGGGAAAAACGTCATAGTATAATAAGGCATAAAATTTCATAAAAAAGTCATAGTATAGTATGGCATAAAAATGTGAAAAAAACAATATGGTAAGGCACAAAATTTCATAAAAATGTCATAGTATAGTAAGGCATAAAAAAAAGTCAAAAAACGTCTCAGTATAGTATGGCATAAAAATTTGAAAAAACGTCAGACTAGTAAGAAATATTTAATACAAATGTCATAGTAGAGTAAGGCATAAAAATGTCAAAAAAAACTTCATAGTACAATCAGGCATGTAAATGTGAAAAAACATCATAGTATAGTAGGGCATAAAATTTTATAAAAATGTCAAAAAACCTCATAGTACAATAGGGCATGTAAATGTAAAAAATGTCACAGTATAGTAAGGCATAAAAATGCCACAAAAAGTCATAGTATAGTAAGGCATAAAAATGCCACAAAAAGTCATAGTATAGTAAGGCATAAAAATGCCACAAAAAGTCATAGTATAGTAAGGCATAAAAATGCCACAAAAAGTCATAGTATAGTAAGGCATAAAAATGCCACAAAAAGTCATAGTATAGTAAGGCATAAAAATGCCACAAAAAGTCATAGTATAGTAAGGCATAAAAATGCCACAAAAAGTCATAGTATAGTAAGGCATAAAAATGCCACAAAAAGTCATAGTATAGTAAGGCATAAAAATGCCACAAAAAGTCATAGTATAGTAAGGCATAAAATTTTATAGAAATGTCAAAAAACCTCATAGTACAATAGGGCATGTAAATGTAAAAAATGTCACAGTATCGTAAGGCATAAAATTTCATTAAAATGAAATAGTATAGTAAGGTATCAAGTTTCAAAAAAATGTCATAGTATAGTAAGGCATCAAACGTAATAGTATAGTAAAGCATAAAAATGCCAAAAAACGTCATAGTATAGTAAGGCAAAAATGACATAAAAACATCATAGTATAGAAAGACATAAAAATATCAAAAAAAGTCATAGTATATCCAGGCATAAAAATGTCAAGAAACGTCTTAGTACAATAAGTCACGAAAAAGTCATGGTATAGTAAGGCATAAAATTTCATAAAAATGTCATAGTATAGTAAGGCATAAAAATGTAAAAAAAACGTCATAGTACAGTAAGGCATCAAATGTCATAGTATAGTAAGTACATTTTTGTATTTGCAAATTCGTTTCATATTTGCAAGATATTATTGTGAATTTGCTAATTTATTTTTTGTATTTGTGGAGGGTGTTTTATATTTACATATTACACATTTACGCAGGGATTGTCAATCTGTTCACACAAATAATATTGAAACAAATCTACCTCCATAGTGTGACTTCAGTCTCAGCAGGAGGAAAATTGAGATGTCTATCAGCTGACTCTGGTTTAATCTCCAGCGTCTGCAGGCGTCCATCCTGCTCAACTGTCCCTCAGTCCCTACCAGCTCCAGAGGTGCTGCCCAGAGCCTGACCCTGACCCTTGACCTCTCAGGGGAGGGGGGCAAGAGTATAAACAAAGAGTTCCCCTACAGGAATCAATTAAGTAGCTCAGGACTTTTTATAGCGGCAGAGTCAGGGACCTTAAAGTTTAACAGCCAGAGACGTAAAGTGAAGAAATTCAATCTTAGCGACGGCTCATTAAAACAAACCGAGTCGCAGCAGAAACAGAGCCGTGACCCCGAGCAGCAGATTCATTAAAAAAGTGATTCCAACTATTTCACAGCACAGACACAGTGTCTGACTGAGAGGTGACAAAGACGTCTGCCACTGTTGAGTCAACTAAATTCAATTGTTCACATAAAGTGATGGGAAACTGAACTACAAAGAAATTAAAAAATCTCACTCTCTTCAAGTCTCAGAGTCTGAAGAGGATAATTTTCTTTTAAGTTCAAGGACCTGAGGTGAAAATATCTGAACCGGTCTTCAATTCAATTTAACTTTTAACTGTTCAGACTTTTAGAGAATCACTGAGGCATTAACCCGTCCGATACTGTGTCATGTCAAAAACAAAAAGTGACCAGTTGATCATTAATTTGTTAATCAACAGAAAAAAAAAATTAACCACTGATTCATCTTGATCTGGAAATTTAACAGTTGGACTAAAACTTTTTTATCACAAAGTCTTTGTTGCAACTGAGCAAACTCCTCATGAGGTGACTGAAAGCACAGGACAAACTAAAGTAAGTAGACCAGTTATTTTTATCTCATCATTTTATAATGAATCACTTTAAGGTTTTTAATTGTTGAGACAAAGTTGAAATTAACATTTGTCTTGATTTTCTGTCATTTTACAGACTAAACACTGAATCAAAACAATAATCACTATTTGAAGCCCCGACTGAAACTCATCATTACTTGAATGAAGATGAATTTGAATTTCTAACAGGTTGAAATAATTTCACTCACAGATTTTTTTATCACTTGTTCAAAGAAAATAAAACTTTTTGGATTCAATCAGACTGAAATGAGTTGATGATGAGTACATTTCATTAAAAAAGTAAACTTCAGTAATCTTAAGGAGATTTGGTATCAAATGTAAATGCTCAGGGTTGTATGAAAATTGTTTGATGAGACTGGCATGTTGATATTAGTATCAAAGGAACATGGAAAATGAAGTCTAATGCTACTTTTTGATGTTAAATAGATTGTGTATTATAAAAAGTAGTAGATGTAATAATCTGTAACTTCAGCCTGAACTTTCTGGTCAGTAGAAACTCTTTCTATCTTCTTCTGTGACTGATGAGTAGCACTCTGAGGAAGCCGGTAAAACAGACTGTAAGTGAAATAAAAACCGTGTTGAACTGACCTTGGCTGCCCATCAGCTCCATGGCGCTGACACAAGTCTCCTCCTCCTCTTCCTCATCCTCATCAGCAGCTGCATCGTCGTAGACGACCGGCCCGCTCTCCACCAGCACTCCGCTGGCGGGGGCCCCCACGGGCAGCGGCAGGGGGTTGGAGTTGGCAACCTGAGCAAACAGGAAATATTGTCAGTTGTGCGTCGTTCAGTATTTTTAATATTTTCCTCTGCATGACACGCAAGGTCCCCCCCCCCCAGGGAAATCTAAGCTCGATGTGATAATCATCTGGCCCACTTCCTTTAAAATGATAGAAAATAATAAACAGTGTGGTGTGATGGTGTGAGCTGCAGGGCAGGTGGAGTGTTGACAGTGTGATGAGGAGATATTTCATCTGCTGCAGCATCTCCGCACACCACTAAATACAGCATCAGAGCGTAACCACAACCTTTATTATCTGACATCACATTATTACACTTTTTCAAAGCCTGCAGTGTTCGAGTGTGTATCTTAACAAAGGGTCAGAAGTTAACCAGAGCCTCGGGCCAAAACATCCCCTTCAAGGTTCATAAAAACCTGGGAAATTAAAAATGAATGGGTAAGGGCGAGCGCGGGGGCAAGAATGTAATTAGAGTGCCCTTTTTTGCATTTCACCCCGTTTGCATTGTCTTAGTTGAGCTGTCAAATGTTCATGCGTGAATATGACGACTTTCACCCCCGGCCATCTGCAGCTGACTCTATAACCAGGAGAGTATTTCCAGGTGCATGCTGGGAGACAATAAAAGAGCTGTTTTTGATCAGAAAGCAAGCGTCCTGAAACAGGAGGAAATGTTGGCAGCAGGAAAAGAAAATAAACAGCTGGCACAATAAAAAGTGGAGCCTGCTGCAGAGGACGGAGAGAGGACAGAGAGAGGAGCAGTGGAAACAAATCAAAACAAACGTCAGAGGTTCAGACTTAGAGCTGGTCTGACGCTGTGAATGTTCCATTTCATATTTTAACACAAAAAAGAGACGGACCCACCGAGCGAACGCTGAAAAAACAAACTGAATACACAAACGATAAATGATTTCACCCTGACCTGCTGCTCTTCTCCTTCACTCGTACGGTCTCAGTCTCTCACACAGGCAGACACACCCACCATGTTCAAGTTGTCCTCCATTTTTATTCTCACGAACGCCTTGACTCACGGGACTTTCTTCAAATCTGGTAGAAACATTCACTTGGACACAAGGATGAACTGACGTCAAAGGTCAAAGGTTACTGACCTCACAAAACACGTCTTTGGCCACAACTCAAGAATTCATTTGATTATGACACAATTTAACACAAACGTCTCATAAGGTAAAAATTATGAAGTGATGATATTTTTTATCCAAAAGGTTAAAGGTCAACTTCACTGTGACATCATCAGAACACTTCTGGCCATTATTCATCACTGTAGTCAAACTGAAATTAAACCGCTCTTGTTCTGTCTGCTCTGTTGACACAGATCTGCTCTGATGAATCGTCCTGTTTCCTTTGAGAAAAGAAAAAAAATCAGAAACCACAAAGGAGAAATTTAGATTTTATGGTTTGATGATGACGCCCCTTATTTTTGCACTAATTCTCCGGAGGATCGTTCTGGTTTCTGCCGACATAGATGGAGGCCTTGGATCCTGCGTTGCATCACTGGCGGAGCAGACGGTCACACTGAGCCAGACAGCAGCTGCTACACAACAAGAGCCACAGACTCTGAACAACCCACATTAGCTCTCCTGCTTCTTATCCAACTGACAAACATGAACACACACACACACGTCATATCCTGCCCCTCAGCTTGTTGAACGAGTCGCCACACAGACATTCACCGGGGGGGAAAGGTGCGCCGCTAACCTCAGTTTGCAGGCTAGAAGCTAATTAGCTGCTCAGCTGCAGCACACAGAGCAGCATGAGAGCGTAGCTGCTAATGTCACTGGGGTTTTGTCGACTGCCGCTGAGCTGCTCGCTCCTCAGGACCACGAACAACACGTTGTCCGCACATGGCGAGCAGCTACACAACAAGTGTATTCACTTTGCCTCTCGTTCTTGACGGTGTAACACCAACGCTCTGCAGCCACAGACGTTATTTCTGACCACAAATGTGATTTCATTTGGCCTTTAAAGAGTAACTACACCCAATTTTTCGGATATGATGACGGCTACAGATTTTTCCCACAAAGCTCATATCGTGTGTAAAAACGTCTTTAACTTTCCTGATCTGTGTTTGTTGGGATTAGACAGTTGGGTTCAGCCTCCGTCACTCGCCTCACACTGACGCAGAACGGAGGCTGACCTGTTGACAGGGTCTTTGTGTTATTGAACTTGGTGATGACTGTGTTTTTAATACTGTGAGAGATTTCCCTCAGGTGGATGTGATCTCATTCCGAAGATCCACTTCTCAACTTCAATCTGGGTTTTATTTATTTTGCTTAGTGATGAACGGTACAGATACCGAAAGCCAAACAGAGTAGTTACGCCAGGGAGTGCTGGGGAGTGCGCGGCGTGGAGGACGTTGTGTTTCTCACTTTGTTCCTTCCCGCCTCAACGTAGAGAAACTCATAAAATATCTAAAATTAAACTTTCATTCAGATTTTTCAGTTTCGGAATAAAAATAATCTGCAGTTTTTGCCGAGGAAACCCATCACCTTCAGTTTTTACCACAGCGACTACGAGGAAACCTGCATGTTATCACTTTCCCTTCAGCCGGGGCTAATTATAAAGCAGGAGGAGAAGCAGGTGGAGGGTCCACAGTGTGACGGAGAGATATTTCTGTTCTCCTCAGCAACAGCCTGTTGGAGTCCCTGCTGGGGCCCCTCGTTTCTGCTTTCCTCCTCCTGCCGTCTCTTCCCTCCAATTTGCCTTTCATTTCTTCCTCTGTCCTTTTCCTCCCACCTTGCTTTTATGTCATGTTTCCTCTCCTTTGCCTCCTTTCTTCTCCCCACATCCTTTCTCCCTGCATCCTTCTCTCCTTCCACGTCTTGGCTCCGACTCTCCCTCGTTCCTTTACTTCCCTCAGACTTTGATAAATAGCCAACGATTATACAATGAGAGAACTGCAGGATAAATATCAACCACAAACCTCCTTCCCTTTCTCCTTTTTCCTTCACTTTGTCCTCTCGTTTCCTCTCTGCGCCTCCCCGCCGACTTTAACCTCACCAGGCTGTAAAAAGGCTCCTCATCACAGGAGCTGGACGCCTCATTAACTGCCAGCGAACGCAGGCGGTAATGTGAAGAAATAATTAAAAAAAAGAATTTAAAGGAAAACATAACAGCATAAACACTGTGCTCCAAACTAATTAGGAGGTGAGAGCTATTAAATGGGTCAGGATGACGGCTGTGTGAGAGGAGAGAAAGCTGTGGAGAAGGTGGCGTGAGCCATTACTGCTCGCATTTATACACAGATAATGTTGCACTGTTGCACTACAAATACTCTGTTAGAAGCAGACACTCAAAATGTGGAGTATTTACACTCTTAGCCGAGTCGCAGTCGTCTAACGAGAGAACTGCTCGTTAAGGACTCAGAGCGCCGACGAGCTGCAGGAAACGATTGCTCAGAGAAGGTTTTTTATGGGTGTGAGGATGTTGACATCCGATAGCCGGCTAGTTACTCACGCGTGGAAACAACTGGCGACTGAGAGCAAACCACAGGCTGGATTAAAGCTCACATTCAGACATTTCTTCAAGTGCTTTGAATGGTGTGGCAACCAGGAAGTTTAAATCACAGAAAACTGCAAGTCGGGTCAAGGTGATCACGCCCCTGTTGTATGAAATGACGACTTTTTCCAGATATAAATCACAAGCAGGACTTATTGTGTAGCAGTTGCTGGGTTGTGGCCACTTCCCGCTCTGACAGGACTATCATTATTTGACTAATCAACAGTAAAACAGTAAAACAGTCGGTACGGAGCCAAAGCAAACATTACAACACACAATCTGGTGTTTACAGATCTAATCCATGATCCAACTTTAAACAAAAGCGAGACGGGAGCGCGTCATCGCTCTCCCCCAGTGACCAACGAACCAAACAGATAGGTCTGATTTGTGAATGTTTTCTGATACTGTTCAGGTTTTGTTTACATCAGCAAAAACATCAGCGAACCAGGTCAGAGACATCAACCAACAAACAAAATCCAGAATGTTCCATCTTCTCATCCTGATAATGTCTTATGTTAATATCCTTCAGATAAATGACTCGCTGGTCTGGTTCTAGAGCATCTTCAGATTTCATCATCCCACAATACGTCTACAGCAGAGGTTTCAGCTGTGGGCCAACAAGGTATCGCAAGCGGGACGAATATTTGCTGTAAAACACGACGGAGGATTTCACGATGAAAAAGTCTTTAAAAACATTAAACATGTTGAAATGTTTTTTTATTTTCCTGGTATTAATGAGTCAATGATGAGGAACTTTTATGTCGTTACCGGCCGGACCACATCGTTAACTAAAAGACTCCATGGCAAAAAACTGGAGAGTCAACGTGGATAGCTGGTTGGCAACAGGAAGAATTAAAAGGAAAGAGAGTCAAGAGACAGATGGTGAATCGACAAGTGATCTCTGCCCCGTCTGACACAACAGAAGAACTGAGTCAGTGCAAAGAGACGAGTGAATGTAAACCGATAGAAATTCACCCCCGAGCGACACAAGTTCAACTTAAGCAAAGAATTCACAAACGTTCGTGAACGAGGAGAGAAATAAAAGACAAACTGGACTCAAGGTCTGAGCTGCCACACAAAGACAAACATCTGAAGCGTCACCAGCTGAACGACAGATACAGCTCACAGTTCTGTGCCGTTTCCTTTCTTCCTTGTTAGTGACACATTAAGTAAAGTTCAGTGTGAAAAAGGCTTTAACCTTTTTAAATGTAATCAGGAGCGGCGCGTCCAGCTCTCATGAATCGCTGCACAGTCCCAATAAATGTGTTTGTTACTAAATGATTAGATGCAGGTCAGTGAAATTTGTTACATAAGAGAAATTTAATGAGATTTCTCTAAAAAAAAAAACCATTGTGTGCAAATATGGGACGAGCTTTACGTCTCTCGTTATTTCAACGTCTTCAAATATGATGATAAATAAGAGGCTTCTGTAAATATGTGTGCTTGTGTTTGTGCAAGCTTTTTGTGCTCACTGCCGAAGTGTTTCAGTAACGTTGGGGTGTATCGGGGGGGTGAGCAGGAGGTCGCTGCGCGTCAACAGGACGAGCTGGAAACACTGGCCTGGCCAAACAGCTTCTCTGAGAATCCAACTTCACACAGACTCGGCCATCAGCTGCCAGGACTATTGCTTGCATAAGCAGACTAGAGCTGCAACGCCAGAGCGACTGTCTGCGGTTCAAAGCCCCTCTCCCGTGACCTCATCACTCCTTTCAGATTTCTAAGCCTCTCTGAAAATCCCCACATGCCGAACTGCACTGTCTGCTGCCTCAGTCTCAGAGAGGAGGGGAGAGGGGGAACAGCTGGACCACTTTTCACTTGGCAGAAATCAACTTGTTACTCCTTCTGTCTTGTAAACTCATCATTTCCTCCATGGGCTTGTGTGAAAAATGTACAGACTAATTGCTGGGTCACTGAGGAGGGTGACGGGAATCGGTCTGTGTGAAAGCGACGAACAGACAGAGCTTGGCGAGCGACACCCAGAGCACACACATCTCTTTCCAATCTGGGCCTGTCACTGCAATGAAACGGCAACATTACATAACAGGAGCAGCGAGCGAGGGGCAGCCTCAGCCAATGGCGACGGCCGCTTGCCTCCAGTTCCCATGGGGAGGTGAGGGGGTTGCTAAGTAACAAGCCTTGTTGACCCGGCCCCTCGTGGCAATGTTTTCTTCCTGGTTGACAGAGCCTGAGCTCCCTGAGCGCCACCATTCAGAGCTGCCAACAGCACATGATGGAGAGGGAGACAAAGACCGAGGAGGAGGAGGAGGAGAGGGGAAGGAATGTGGATGAAGGAGGGTAAAGGAGAGGGCAGCAGCAGCAGCAGAGTGGAGCAGTAATAGGACGAGATGAAGAGGAGAGAAACAGCAGGGAGGGAGAGAGAGACATGTGGACGACCCGAGGGAAGAAAGAAAGAAAAGAGTGAGAGGAGCAGAAAAGGAGCTGGAGGAGTGACGTGAGAAAGAAACAATAAAAGCAGGAGGCGCTGGTTGGAGACCTGCTGTAAATTCCCATTTGAAAGTTTTCCGTTTCTAACTTCCTCAGCTTCTCATTAAACTAATGTCCTGGATAATCCAACGAACGCTACAGACTCATGTGTGTTGTAGGTGGAGGTGACGAAGCCGCCGTCACCGCGGCGACACCTCACTCCGACACTTTTAAATCACCTCCTCCAAGACACATCCACAAGATCCTATATAACCTGTTCCGTGCTGAACATACGAGCGCTTGAACTGACGTTTAGACGACACTTTCAGTCCAGACAGAGACGAACACAGACGCTCTGCTGTTCCAGCTGCTCCAACAATTAAGTTGAAGTTTGGAATAAAAAAAGAAAAGTCCACGATGATTTCCTGCTTCCTGATTCTCACCGCAGGAAGTTTCCCGGCCGAAATGCCACATTTACAGCTGAACATGTTTCCGATTTTTATTTAATGAAGTTGTAGTTGTATTTGCAGCTAAGGTTTATTTACTAAACAACATTTTCGCATGCAGACTGTGGAGGTTGCGTAATAGTGTTTTGAGACTTCCACATTCACACAGACTTCCTTCATGTGTGTGAGGGGGCGAGTGCAGACTGTGATCAGTCTGAAGATCAGTGAGAACTCATTCAGTTTGTTCCATCAATCAGTCGGTGCATTGATCTGTTCATCTCTGCGGTGGCCGTCACTTTTATTTCAGTCTGTGTTTCTGGCACGTCAGTTTGGGATGGCAGATGGCGCTAAAAACTACAATACCCATGAGCCTCGGCTGCTGTTACTGCAGAGAGAAAAGTGCAGACCCGGTTTGTTGTTGCAGCTGAGCACAAAATACATTTCGGAGCAGCTGAATTCATCCACATTTGATCCTAAACGTTAAATTTAGGATTTAAATTCAGCTTCTTCGCTTCAGTTTAACATCCACAGACTCGCAGCCTTGGCTGGCACCTTTTCACAGTGTTTCATCTTTTATATATACACTATACCAAAAATAAAAGCGACCTAAACTTCACAAGCACCGGACTCCAACAATAACTCCTGCTCTTTTCTCTATGGAGGGATGAGGAGGAAACATGGAACAAGTGAAAAGAGAAATAAATCATGAGAAATGAGACAGACCGGCAGTGGACGGTGAAGGTGAAGCGAGGAGGGAAGAAGAGACGGGAATGAGGAAATAATGTGAACATATAGTCCAGAAAGCCAAATTTAAGACTTTCAGATCCTGTAAATCTACCTGTGATTGAATTTGGGTCCAATTTAAAATCAAATTAAGACACAAAGTTGGAAAAACTGGCCTCTCTCTCCTTGAAGATGGCTGCTGGGAGCCGTGAAGCTAAAAATGGGGCAGAATGAGGACGTCCGCAAATTGACTGTTCAAAGACACGAAGCCTAACTGGGTTTAGTAAAGCAGATAGGAGACATATTGTACCACTAACCTTGTTCTTTCTGGACTCATCTGAAAGCTGGCGACTGGCCAACAGAAGCCCATCACTGCAGGGTGGTAAAAAAAAAAAAAAAAGCTGGGAAAGTGCTTTTTAAGACGTTTTTATGTCCAAGTTTAAGGCTGTATTTATTTTAAGACCCTGTCAGAGCTTTTTAGGAGCAGTGAACAGCCTGGAGGGAGGAGGAGAGTGAGAGAGGAGTAATAAGGGAAGGGCAAACAAAGACAGAGAGGTTCACCTCTCACATGGCCTGAGTGGAGATTTATTTATCCCCCGTCCGCTCTGCAGGAGACCCCAGCAATCAGCAATCAGCTTTTAATGGCCGACCAGCAGAGACTGACGGGGGAATTACAATCTGTCTCCAGCTTCTGTCTGTTACTGTTATTGCTTTATTATGTGGAGACAGAAAGCCTCTGGTGCTCGCGCTTTTATACGACACAGAGCCGTTTCATACACTTTTCAAACAGAAAAGATAAGTCTCCTGGTATTTCTATATTTTTCTTATAGTCAACAAATCTCATGAAGAGACCGAAACCAACGTATCTTATTCCTCTGCGCCGTAAAGATCCATACAGGAAGTTCACCAGATTAAATTTATGACCTTTTTAATACCAAACAAAGTGCAACTGAATGTCTTTGACGTAATGACAGAAAACCAGCGGCGGCACTATTTTATTACGCACATAAATTATTGACATTTCTATCACGTTCCCGTCATCGTCTAACAATAATTATTACTGATTAACCAATAATGTGACCTACAGCCCCAAGTTTCTAATAACTCTACAAAGACTGACTGAACAGCCTCCTGTGTGCAGAGCTCACTGCTGCCGTCTAAAGCAGAGAAGAAATAATATTCAAGACCTCCCGTTCTTTCTGACGCCTCCTGAGGTGCGAGGGGACCGAGTTCAACGCCTCATAAGAGCTTGTTTTACGTCTTCAGGAGGAACCGGGGAGGGAGGTCGAAGGGCACCGAGAGATAAACACTTCTGGTCTTTTCATGGGATTTGTTGCTCATAAGAAAACTATGGAATAATCAGAGCCTCATCCTTTAAGACTTCTCGTGTTTTCAGGGTCGATGGTCACGATTACAGGCTGCGATGATCTCGCCTCTTCTCTAGACTCATCGCTTTTAACTGAGACAACCCCTCTGTTTTTACACTCTATATAAACACACACTCATCGGTCTGTTATGGCTAAAATAACCACAGAGAAATAGAGGAATGGCATTAAAGTAATTGAAAAGTCAAGGCACTTATAGCATAAAGCTGTCCAGCGCACTGATTTGCAACGTTGCTCACAGTGGTCTAATAAACATGAAGATATTAAAGAGAAAGACGCCACATTATACAAAGGTAGGGTAAAAACTCGGACGGTTGACAAATCTGTATGACCTCATTGTATACCCTGCCGTCATTATGACAAACACTCATCATGTTCCTGTAACACGTCGTCTAATTTTCTGACCTGCTCCCTGTTAGTTCAACTTAATTCAGATTGCTGAGAAAAGACTAGAGTTTTGACATCAACATCAAGTTTCCCTCACAAACCTTGTCGCAGAACTAAATAACACAAAGGAACGCAGCAAAGGAATGAGATGAAAGTTAACAATGGGACGCACAAGCACCAGCACAACGCTCTGGAACATCTGGAGATATAGATCTGTGAGATAGATACGCCTCCTCAAGAATCTCCCCCCGGCCAGGAGCCTCCTGGGACATGGAAGCTTTAAAGCAGCTGATGAAAAGAAGGCGACAGTGTCTGAGACGTGGATATTACAGACGGATTCTCAGCAACAATTTCATCCTAGAAAAGATCGGCACAAAACTTCTGGAAACCGTTATCCGAAGGACATTTCTCTATTTCGGACACATGTCGAGAACCGAGGACAAAACACTGAGCCGCACTGCGCCTGAAGGCAAACAGGACTGGACAGCTCGTGTCACAGACGCAAGACGTCACGGCTGTCAACAGACTGAAGAGGAAGAAAATGGTGGCAGAGACTCTGGAAGAGAATGGCACATGATGATGGGGGGGGGGGGGTGCGAGTGAGTGTTTTTGAGAAAGCGAGGAGGGAAGTTATCTGTCCGAGTGATTGACCGTGTGACTGAGTGCTCGTGCGCGTTTCAGCGTGCGCGTCTGCTAAGTGCAGGAGGGCGAGCGACGGGCTAAGTGGGTGAGCGGGGGAGAGGAAGCAGAGGGCCGAGCGAGCGGCCGAGCGAGTGAGTGACGGAGACGAAGAGCAGATGTGGTGAAGATGAACGGCGGCTCACCTGCTCCACCGCCAGCTTCTTGTTGGGCTGTCCGGTGATGAACGGCTGCAACCTGCAACACAGAGGACGACAACATCAGCACAATCCTGCACCTTACAGTTAATGCTCCACATTTTCTCTACGTGTTGCTGACATTTCATATTTTTAACAATCCTGCTTTGCTGCTCTGCCGCTTTGATTAACAGCTGCTACTTTTTAATTTCAGTATATTGACTCAGCTCAAGGTTAAAATTTATATACAGCTTTTTACTTGGCTGTGGTTTAAACATTTATTGACTCGTTTATTGAAAACCAACCAGTCAAGTTCAGTTTAGACATTTTTTTAGAAGGGAAATAGAATTAATTATTTTTAAGATGCTAACATCTGGTGTTTAACATGCATGAGCTAAAGTGTAACATTATAACGTTGCATTAGTATTGATTATTTTAAGATAATAAAACCTTAAACCCACATACACACGTGCACATACTAATTTAAACAAATATCTATCTGTAAACTGTGACTATGTTTTTACCGTCACGTATGACGAAGAAAAAACAGGCAATAGTCACATTTCAGACGGTTCCTGCACGACTGAACGACTCAAAAGATCAATCGATTATCAAAATGGCAGCGTATTGATCATGTGGTGACTGATTGATTGATCAGCTAATCCTCATTGGCGTGAACAAACCCTCTCAGACAACAACTGAACGACGCACCACAAACAAACCGCGCCGGAGCCCGACGGCGTCTCAGTGGTTTGATCTGCACCACAGTTTGAAGAAACACACACTGTAATATAACGTAACAGGAAAGTAATAAATAAATGAACCAACCTGCAGTCTGATGAACTAATGATCACCAGAGCGCATCATAGAACAAAACAACATAGAACACCTGAGATTAATAACAGTTTATCTATAACAGTGGCTTCATGTCTTTATAAGATGAGGATCATTATTCATGTTGAGCGAGTCTGCCACAGAATTAAATGTGCAGATTTTATGAACCTCTCAAAGCCCCAAAGTAATGATATTCATTTCTACATATTGTTTTTCCAGACATTAGGAGAAAATAAAATCTTTCACTCTGAGGACGGCTCGGATTACATTTCACTGTTCACCTCGGCGGCGAGGACACCGTCTCAGCTTTGTTTCTCATTTACGCCACTTTCTTCTTCTTCATTTCCAATTCCCTGCTCGAGTTCTGTTGCCTGAAGAAAGAAACGCAGGACGAGACTCGTGGAGGACGACGCACTGAAACACTGAGCCTCATAAACTTAATGAAACCCTTGGCCTCCGACGCGGCGACAGTACAACCCCGCAGTAACGAATGTGATCACATGAATTTTTCATGTCGTGGAAATTCAAAAAGCTGAACTGGGACAAATACTGGAGCCGATACTGATATTATCAATACTTTTATCTTTGATGGATAAACTGTGAGCTGCGGTTTCTTGTTACTGATTGAACGACATATTGAGAGATACCTACACATCGTCAATAAGCTTATGTTGACCGAGTCGGCCTCCATCAGAACACCTTCGAAACACCTTTCTGTCGTCAGTCTCTCTTCCAGGAGACTGTCTGAAAATAAGCGCCGTTATTCCCATATTTAAATTATCATCACGACACTGTTTGTTTGATTGACATCGATTGTGTTTTTGTTTTGCAGGTATTTGACCACAAAGCAAAGTTTTGTTTGAAGCCTATTGTTGACCTGCTGGTGGCGCCGGGTGAAAAGCCAGAGGGTCACCGAAATCAATGGAGCTGTTCAACCTATACTGGGAATTCAGAACCTCCGATTTCCCAGTCAGAAATTTGAACTGGAACGCCCCCTTAAGTCACATTTCCAGCTCAGAAAGTCAGAAGAACCTCATCTACCCCCGACCTCAAAATCCAAGATGGCTGCTCTGTGCGCCGACTGAAGAGAAAGCTGCAGTAATATACTGTTTAGCTTATGTCACATTACTACTGATGTGTTGCTATGGTGTTCGTATTACACAAAAACACCATGTAATGTGTTGTTATCAACTGGTGTTGCTAACAACAACAACAACAACAACAACAACAACAACAACAACAACTCCAGTCGACAGCTTCGCCGTCCGACATCAAATGAAAGGAACACGGTTTTATTTTCTCATTCATCTGTTAGATGTGAAGATGTTTCACTTCCTGCCGGAGGCTCCAAGTTCATAGTCAACAAAGGTCACCAAAGTCAGTAGGATTCATCCACCAAAAATCATGGCACCCCAACACCACGGCTCAAAATCACCCCCCCTCCCACCCGCCCCCCCAATATAGATTGAGACAGTAGTGAGCTTTAGAGCATGTTTTAAATTCAGGGTTAATCTTATTGGAATTATAAATATGCATGCATGCCCTCCATTGTGCTCCCACAAATTTAGTCAAGTAAGCAGGAAAGCCCCTCCCCCCCCCCAACCCCTCCCACCCCCTCCAAAAGAAAAAGTGAAAAACATAATAATTATTAATAATTATTGTAATATCTATAGTTTTTGCTGATTCTTGCTCTTCTCGTTGTTTAAAATGCAGACAAGGAAAAAAAAACGAGAGCACGGCTGAATATTAACTTTCTTTGAACCTCTTCTACAAATAATATACATATTCATCACTCTCTCTCTCTGTTGACACAACACAGGTCGAGGATTTCATCGTGATTCCTGCGTCTGGTCTGCGAGTCTCTCGGCTTCAGGTGAAAATCAGCAAATATAGGTATCAACAAAAAACTAAAAGTGTGAGCGTGAAACGAGACCAAACTGTGACCGACAGGCGACCGACTTGTCTGTGAGCACAATCTCCTCCTAGACAGTGGCGGAGATAATCAGCGATGAACGTACCACCGGCAGTAATTCCTAAGCAGCCGTTCCACCGTCCCACTGGCTGGAATTAGCATCGTTCCCGGAGGCTCCCCGCCCCCTTCCCTGCCCACCCGGCCCGGCGCTGAGCCCTCCCCGGGGGCTTACAGTAAGTGTTCAACTCTCACTGATAAGCGAGAGAGAGAGAGTGCGAGTGAGCTTTTAATTAATCTGCTTTAACCAGGGGAAAGTGGGGGGAGGGTGGGGTGAGTAGGGGGGGGGGTAACAGCCAATGTGGCATCTTCACCCCTCAACAGCACCCCCTCCTTTCTCAAAGCTCATTATAACATCCCAGCCAGGCCGGCGAATCGCTCCCCGCTGAGTGAACTATGCAGGCCCCCGTACACATGTGCTAGACTAGACTCGCTCCCCTGGGCCCTGACCCGGACACTCTGGGGGGGGGGGGGGGGGGTAGGCAACAGGCAGCGAGGGGGGAAAGGGTTGAAGAAGAAAGAGAGGACACAGGGACAGAGGATAAAATAAAAAGGGAGCAAACGAGGAAGAAATGGGGTGAGGACACATGGTGGGAGGGATGAGATGGAGGGATGAAGGTAGGAAACACGCAGAGAGGAGGGGAGAGAGGGTGAGAGGAAGGGAGCAAGGGAGGAGGTGGTAAGGACACAAGTGTAAAAAGAGAGGATAGTTAGAGGAAATCTGAGAATCAGATTAAATCCTAAATCCCATTAAAAGGATCGTTGACCTGCATGTAGCTCCAATCACAGGTGGATCAATAATCAATACAACACGACTAATTCACCTTGATTCACCTCGTCAGATAAACACCTCGGAAACAAGGACGAGCCCAGATGTTCCCAGCTGCTGTTATCACACACAAGGTAGCTGAACATTTAATATTTACTGAGCTGAAAAGAAACTGACACGAATTCATCGATCATCATTATTGGCATTTATCAATTAAAATCGCAGCCATGTTCTCCGGTGGGTTTTTCTCGGTTTTATATCGATGTGAATGAAAAATTCAAAGAGCCGTCCCCTCGGCCTCAGGGACATTTTTCATTGTTTTGACTTTTTACGGACCAAAAAAAAACGAATAAAATTACAGTGAAACTAAAAAGGAAAGTTTCCGCCGTGTGCGGCACATTGAGTTTTATCTGTATTTCTTCAGGTGTCGATGCGAAGGCTCCAGTTTCTCACACAGTCATTGTTAAAAACAGATGTTCAGCGTTGGATGGAGCCACGTCCAGTAACTGCAACAGAATCCTCCTCTTGATCAGCATTACTGCAAGCAGTCAATAGTTTGTAGGGGTAAGGGTGGGGGGGTCAGAGGTCAGAGCAACAAGGCCATTAAAGGCCACAGAAAAACAGAGGGTTGAAAGAGTAACATTAGAGGCTTCTCTTGAGTGACGTGGCAGCTTTAGTGACTGAAATATCGCTGCAGATCCTCCGACTCTTAATTTTAACGTCTCGACACTTTTGGTTTACGACCAAATTCCTGCACAAAACCCGATGACACACACCAGCCGCAGCCTGTGCCTCACGCTTAGTGTATAAACAGCTAATGTTAGCATGCTAACACGCTAAACTAAGACGCTGAACATAGACGTTACACCTGCTGAACATCAGCGTGTTAGAAGAGCCCGTTAGCATGCTGTTAGCATTTAGCTCAAAGCGCTGCTTACAGCCCTGCAGAGCCATTAACACAGACTCTTTCTTTTTTATCTTGTTAGTCCAAGTTTCTGTGAGAATTACAGGCGTTCTTCTCATCCAGATGTTTCCACCCATCATCAGCAGGCTTCTTTAGTTCGTGCTGTTGAGTTCTAACTATTCTGTTCTCGCTGCTTTTCTCTCCTGCTGCTCTCTCAGTACAATTTCACAATTCTCTCAAACTCATCAGCAACGAAAAAAAAAGGTCCAATTTTCCCAGAATAATTAACAGTCATCTTTGCATTGGATGGATTTAATTAGTAATTATTTTTAACTGGAGGTAAAAAGAAGAAAAAAAAACAAACAGTGGACTGGTCTTTTGAAATCGTCCAAAGCTCCAGTTACAGAGAAGCTGAATGAAACAGTTCGAGCTGAAACTGAAACTGATCTTCCCCTTGTTCAGCATTACAAATATTTTCATTTCTACTTCTTACACAGTCTCTGGAGTCTTTTACACCGAGAGAGATTTTCTTATGAAAGCAGTAGCTGCTGCGCGCACACACACACACACACACACACACACACA